GTAGGTTTCTGCTTAATTTCAAAAAACAAAAAAAACCTATCACTGGGCCGGGAAAAAAATGGCCGTCGCATATTATTTATTGCTCATCATTGTCTGAAATCTCTTATAACAATCTAAGAGATTTTTATACACACCTAACTTATGTTTTGGAGGTTTACAAAAGCTATTAAGACCTTCAATTTAGCCAAAAATATCGCCAAGGTTGTGAACTAGCGAATAGCGTAACAGCCAAATATTCTGTTGATTATTCTAATTCTGGTGTCAGAAAAGCTAGATCAACAACTGCTTGAAGTTGTTGCCATGATTTACACACCAGAATGTTACATTTTAACTTGGGAAGTGCAGAAGCAGTATAGCGTTTCACGAACTTCAACACATGATGTCCATCAAGACAACTCATCAGGCCAAGCTAAAACTGTTGCCTTTATAATGACTTTCATTCATTAATATTGATTGTTTACAAAAGAGAGGAAACAGGTAATAAAAAGAATAGAAAAAAATAAGGATGATGTAGAGATGGTAATGCCAAAAATAACAGAAAAAAAGGTAGTGATGAACACACAAAACCATACAAAAATCCCTATATAAGTAGACACTGAGCCAATGTTACAAGCTTATAGGAATTAGCCATTGTAAGACTTCATAACATTATTCAGTTTAAACGATTTTCTTCAAACCTGAATTCATGCAAATGAAAGGAATTCAACATTTAGTTGTAGATAAAAGTTTTTCATGGAAAAATTTGGTTACTTATGTAGGCATTTTTATATGGTTTTGTGTATCCATCCCTACCTTGTTTCTGTACTTTTTGTGGCATTGCCATCCTTTCATCATATACTTAATTTTTGCAAAACAATTTATTACTTGTGGAACATAAGATAACACAATGAAAGTAAGCACTACGTTGTTTTCAGTCACTTAACACAGAAACTAAAAACCAACGAGTGCGTCGATGTGTGATAACTTTTTTTAGACTACCAGGTGGCACGCAACATCACTGGTCTACTAGCTGACCAGATATATCTTCCAGCACGTTATTCTAGCAGCTCTACGGTTTTCCATCTAGAAACGTGAATTAATAACTTCTAATTGCCTCGTGTCTGGCGCTGACGAAGATTTTCGCTCGTAAATCTCACGATTAAATTAACGTTTTTCTTCCAGACGTTTATGGTTACCACACCCAGTTAAAACAATTGAACATTAATTCAGGAAGACGTCATTTAAGATTGTGCTGAATAGAAGAAACATAGAAACTACGCCTACCTTTATTTATATACCACATGCGTATTTGAAAGCTTATCCATCCAAAGAGAGATTTTCATAGTAATATTATAATTAGAAATAAACATCTCTGTACGTTATTGAGTACTGCAGTCGCATCACAGATAAAAAGTAAATACAATAAATTTTGACCTAAACAAGATGAGTTTATTGGTACATATTATGTTTTTCAGCTTAATAGAAATACTAATAAAAACGTTATATCACACTCAATCAACCCAATTAATCAATAGCTCCCACTTCATTCGAAGCTAGAAAGTGTTAACTTCAAACAGAAGGAACACTGGACGACACTCAATCAACTTATAGCTTCTACTTCACATTCTGCATTGAATTCTCAGATAGCTAGTGTAAAGATAATATATCACACTCGAAGCTAAGAAGAATTAACTTCGAACAGAGAGGATACTGGGTGACACTTAATCGATCTGTAGCTCCCACTTCACTTTTTACAGCTTGAACGCAACTGAAATTACACGATTTAAACAAGTAATATACGAATTATTCGTAACTGAGTGTTAGCACATACCATACTCTCTTATGTAATCCAGCCTTGAACTCAATGTTCCAGCTGCAGAAAGGTAAGAACATCAACAAAACACGACTATATCATACCGATCACTTTGCCATCTGCTTTAATTCAACGAATGTAAGCTTCAAACAAAGAATAACACACAGCCAATCTTTATAGAGCATCCTTGACGGTTTGGGTTTCAGCTTTATTACTTGCTCTCAAAAGAAACAAGTCTAAATCAAAATCAGCCCATCTGTAAAAGAAGAAGAAAAAAAAAAACGGCGACTGAAAGATGTGAAATTAAAATTGGCAGTGCAGTAATGAAAATTTTAATAATGACAATTCAAGTAAACATAGTGTTACCATCCTCCATGTTTCACTTAGGAGTCTGTAACGCAATGTTTACCTCAATTGTCATCATAAAAATGTTCATTGTCATCAACAGTATTACTGCACTGGCTTGGCTGCTAATTTCGATTTCACATATTTCAGTTGCCGATTTTTTATTTTCTTATTGGCCGCACATTTTTTTTAACAGCTGGGCTGTTTGTGATTTGGATATCACTACTTTTTAAAAACCAGAATACACAAGTTATTGTGAGTGATATCATCACACCTTTTTGTGACCAACAAAGCCTAAAAATATATATACATACAAGTGTGAACTGTAAATGTAGAGATTTTACACACACTTACATACATGGATGTATCATGTCAAGTAGCATTTGGTCTACATATAAGTTGAATGTCCATCGTGTAGAGAAGTTGTAAAATATAAAGAATACTTTCAAAGTGGCATAGTACTGTTACGCCTCCAGTCGTTAGTTAATTTTCCGTAACTTCGTTCCGACGAAACTTTAGCGACACAAGTCCTTTCTT